TTTAATTATCTTAACCAGCGTAATGCAGCATGGTCTGTCCTGATAGTAAACTTGGCACCATAGAGATAAGGACGGAAATAAGTCAGACTCTTTACTATAGCAAGGAGTTCCCTCCGTGTTACACAGTAGTTCTTCTCTGGTCTACTCAGGACCATACTGAAGTACACACAATCACAGAATCACAATCCAGTAAGTACGGCAGTGAGGGATTTGGAAGCTTTAATAGTGGAACTGAGGCCAATTTTTCTTTCAATGTCTTGAAAGCATGCTGGCAATAAACTGTCCATTCAAACTTCTGTCCTTTTTTGGTCCAATCATATAGTGGAGCAGCTATAGTTGCAAAGTCCTTCACAAACTTCCGGTAATAAGTACAGAGACCGAAGAAACTTTTTAACTCTCCCACGTTGTCTGGCGTTGGCCAAGCACGCACTGTTTTCACCTGGTCAGGATCAGTTCGCACACCATGCTAACTTACAATGCGACCTAAGTAAAGCATCTCTTTTGGAACAAGTGGCATTTCTTGGGATGGAGTTTGAGGTTTGCCTCTTTCAAATGCTTGAATACTTCTTCTAGCCGGGACATTTCCTCGTCAAACGTTGTTGCAAACACAACGACATCATCCGGGTACACCAGGGCTATCCTGCATTCTAGGCATTCCATTACGCTTTTCATCAGCTTCTCAAATGTTGGTGGAGCATTGCTAAGCCCGAATGGCATAACACAGTACTGCCAGAGACCTTGGCCATAACTAAATGCAGTCTTAGGTTTATCTGCTTCAACCATTTTCACTTGATGGAAACCCGACTTTAAGTCCAGAGTTGAAAACCACCTGGATCCACTTAGGGTATCAGTAGTATCATCAATTCTTAGCAGTGGGTATGAGTCCTTTTCAGTTATACTGTTAAGAGCCCTGAAGTCCACACAGCATTGTTGGGTCCCATCCTTCTTCTGCACTAACACGACGGGAGCTGACTAGGGACTATCTGATTTCTCGACTATCCCTTCTTCAATTAGGCCATCCATGACCTTCTCCATCTCTTGTCACTTTGCTGGAGCTCTTCTCCTCAGAGGGATCTTTATTGCACGGTGATTGCCTGTGTTTATTCTGGGCTCCACAAGGTCTGTGCAGCGAAGGTCATGATCTCCTTTTGAAAAGACGTCTGCATAATTCACCAAACGTTCTCTAACCTGAAAAGACTGTGATGATGGCAAACGGACTATTCTTTTCTTATAGAGGTCAGTTAAATGTTCTGGGAAAGTATGTCCTTTTTTATGGTCGTATTTCTACCTTAACATTGACTGGCTCTACCTCCTGGAACACACCCAACAATGCCTCTTACTTATGTGTCTGCTCACATTTAGAGAAATTGGCCATTGTTATGGGTACTACTTGATGACCTGCCACAAGTGACCTTCCATTCTCCACATTCGCTGGCCTGGATGGGTCTTCCACTGCCAAGAAGAAAATGATAATAGTGTTCTCCATGTTGAGGTTGTGGGTGACAGATAAATCTCTCCATTCGGTTAAACAAGAGTATCCCAAAAGTCGGCGGTGGGTGCAGATGACTAACTGCCTTCCCTTTAGTCTATCATTTGAAGTTAAGAACGGCTAGTGACAATAGCTTTTAATTAGCTTTAAGCGAATATCGAAAGCAAACAAACAAATCAGATAGCCGAATTAAGCAGATTTTATTTCAACAAGACATTAACTGGAACTAGTTTATGTAAAAATTGTCAGTATGTTTGATAAACACTCTAGGTTTCTATGATTGTAAAGCAATAAGAAGTGTTCAATAAGTTTCTTAAAGTTGGTGTTAAGGATTTCAGCAATTTCAAGTATAAAGTAAACACATTAAACCAAATGACAATACCTAATTTTCACATGCTATAAATTATATGCATAAAATTATTTCATCTGTATAGTAACATTAAAAACATATCTTTTAATCCCAGGAAAACTGGCCATAAATAGATCCATATCAACCTATTTTAAGAGTGATATATTCTTCCCCGGAAATGATGGAAAATCTATTGATAATTCGTGCACAACATCCAAGAACGAGAAAGGAAAATGTAAAGACCTTTCTAATTGTCTTGAAGCACTAGATAACACGTATAAAGAACATCCCACAGTTTGTGAATGGAATGGTGCGAACCCAGTTATTTGCTGCCCCATGGTAATACCATCTGAAAATACTCCAGATCCTAGCGTGTCAGGAAAAGTCCCAAATCTTTATTTTCCAGGTGAGGATTTTATCAGGATCACACTAACTCAAGATATAATCTATTTTATAAGATATTCAAAGTATAGATTCAAATTTTGATTTGAAGGTATATTGTATAAGAATTTGTGATGTTGGTTAATTTGTGAAAGTATTCATCCGAATCAATGCCATCATGACATTAAGAAAATGTTATGATTTATAGGTTGAGAAAGAAAGCCACTCCCCCAGTGGCACAGCGGTATGTTTAAAGACTTACAACACTAGAAACCGGAGTTTGATGCTTGTGGTGGGCAGAGCACAGATAGCCTATTGTGCAGCTTTGTGCTTAAACAAACAGAAAGAGAGAAACGATAGCTGTAATAATACAGAAAAAACATGAAACAGAGAACAGTTATTTGTATTCAACAGTCGTATTTCACTTTGTCTCATAAACAAAGTATATCGTAATATGTTAAATATTTTAACTAGATAAGTTATTTGAAATATAAACACATTGTTATAAAATATGACTTATTTAACATTAAAACACATTGTTATAAAATAATATCTGACTATTTACTAACATTTATTTCAAAACAATGTTTAGTTTTAAAGTTTTTTCTTCTTGTACAAAATTGTGTAACTGGTTCAATTTCATTTTTTAAACTCACGTCTCTTCTATACCATATCTAATTTAAAAAAAAAGGAGGAATTAACAAGATAATTATATATCAATTTTCAATAGCTGTTCGGGGAAAGGCAAACTTGATGTACAAGTTTTCATGTATGAAATCATATAGCGTTTCAAAAGGAACAATTTTTGCATCTTCTTTGATACATGTCATCAACTTAATCATTCATTGTTTGCACAAAGCATACCTAAGTAACTGATCATCTTTATTTTTGATTCACAGCACTGAATAGCTGATAACAAAATTTATCATTTAAAAAAGTTCATATATTTCTTGTCCGTATATATACAGTTGAAACTGAATGTATTAAACAAACTAGTTTGTCTCTTAAGTATTTTCATTGTCTTATAATGAGATATAGTTTAAGCCCAGAGACACTAAAATAAAGACAGTATGGTCTACAACTTTCTGAAACGTAATATTTTACTATTGAAACTTTACACGATTAATCAAAATTAAGGATAAATAACTTGACTGCAGACTACTACCGTTTCGGTTTCACAATTTTTCTACCATTAGTGTAAACGTCCAAACATATTATGTTATGAGATGTTAATAAAACAGTTGAATTTTACTTTAGGTTGTGGTATACGTGAAAAACGTCAGAGAATAGGGTCTTTGGTGTTTGGACGACTTCAACCATCCAAAGCTGATCACACTAGCAACGAAAAACGAGTAAGACCTGTTCAAAATGATTCCAAGGGAGTGAGATTTGTAGTTGGTGGAGTTGAAGCCGATCCTAAATCATGGAGATGGATGGTAATTTATTAATAAGTGAAAATATATTCATGATCCTAAATCATGGAGATGGATGGTAATTTATTAATAAGTGAAAATATATTCATGTAAACTTAGTAGGTGTTTCAATACGTGTAGCTGCATTGAAATTTTGGTATTTCAACCGAAAGCAAAACAGTATTGTTACGACAGCGGAAGTCACGCGACGTTGGAAGCATGCGCGCTGGAGTTTTTAGAAGGATCATGACACCGCATATATCCGAATGTTTGCCAGGCGCCCTCTTTTTTAGTATATAAACTCAACAAATAAACCCAGCTATAGATAGATATGCAGATAGATTGAAGAGATAGATAATTGAGTCAAGACGAAGTA